TGTTGTGGTTGTACATCTTGGCCCATTCAGCAAAACTAAAAGAGTCCTTGACTGTAAACTGGTTGGTGGAAAACTTTTTCTTTACTAACATTTTGTATTGTTATTATTATTATTATGGTAATTTTTTTCTCTCTCTCTCCCGCAGACTCATCTCTTTGTTATTAACTATTAGTCTTGTTACATATTATTAGATACCAGTCTTTTTCTTTTTCTTCGCGTTTAAATTTCGATTGTAATCTAGTTAACGGTCACTTCTGAAGATGTATGTTGTACATACGAAACGTCAAGGAAATTAACTTTGTTTAACATGCGTTTTGGTTCCATGTTTATCACCGCGGTTTGTGTTTTGTTTCTTCTATAGTTTGTCTTTGATTTCTCCGCCTCGCGAAACATATGGTTAACTGATGGGACTCAAGTGAGGGTGTGGACTTTGAAAGTAATTGTCCTAAAATGCGATAGGCTTTTTATTAAAGATGTTATATCCGGCATACATTAGTGTTACATCCTCATGGTGTCATTTCTACATATATCATGTATTGCGAGCATTAACATATCTGAATTAAAAGTATGGTTAATACAGACTTATATTCATAACCATCACTGAATTGGACCTAGCAGCAATTAAACAAAATATGCAATTGAACCCTTTCGCTCGTAGTTGAGCACACACAACAGAAAAAGCTTGATGACAGTTACACTGTGACTTGTCGACGCTGCACTGAGATTGACGAGCTACTGAATCTATTTATAACATTCTTTCACCATGTCCTTTAGCTTACAAGTTCATTAAAGAGGACTTCCTCTCTCTGGCTTTGAGGGGAATTTCAAAATGATCTCACATGGCCTTGAGCATCGTAATATTGAATCCCATGGTCGGAGCTTATCGTTTAAAATCAAGAGCCCCTGCTCAGGGATGGAGGAGCGTATTTTGAATTGGAGGGGGGACTTACAAGCGAGCGCCATAGGTGCGTACTTGTAGGGGGTCTGGAGATATTTGTAAAATTATTATTTCAAGTATTTTTTGCTTGAAATTGGGCTGGATAAAGCCCCCTTCCAGCTCCCCCGGCTCCGACGTCCCTGCTGCTGTTGAAAGA